ATATCCCAGCACCACTCTCACGTGGAAGTCATTTTGGACATTATGACAGAAGAAGCAACCAGACATTCTTCTACTCCTTCATCTCTCTCCCAGGATTGAGGATGAAACACCAGATCAACTCTTGCCCGACTCTCTTGTAACTAGGGGTGATCATGTGACACAGCTTCAGGCAGTAAGATATATGGGGAAGTCTTCCTGGGAGCTTCTTGGAAAAATATTCTTTACTCAAACAGAAATGTATACATTGTCATTGAGATCTTTTAAAATTTTTCTCCCTTCTTTCCTGCCTTTCTTTTATTTTTAATTTTACTTTAAGCTCCAGGATACCTGTGCAGAATGTGCAGGTTTGTTACGTAAGTATACATGTGCCATGGTGATTTGCTGCACCTATCAACCCATCATCTAGGTTTTAAGCCCTGCATGCATTAGGTATTTGTCCTAATGCTCTCCCTTCCCTAACCCCCACCCCACAACAGGCCCCAATCTGTGTTGTTCCCCTCGTTGTGTCCATGTGTTCTCATTGTTCAACTCCCGCTTATGAGTAAGAACTTGCGGTGTTTGGTTTTCTGTTCCTGTGTTAGTTTGCTGAGAATGATGGCTTCTAACTTCATCTTCTTTCCTGCCTTTCAAGACAGAGGTAGGACAGATACTTGAAACTGCAGCAGCTATCTGGAGACTGTGGCTATAAGCCAGGTAGGGAAAGTCAATACGCTAAGGGTGGTAAAATGGAAAAGATGGAAAATGCTTAGAAACTTGACATTTCTGAGACACTGAACCAACCTTGGGACTCTCCTCCAGACTTGTTGGTAATAATAGAGATCTTATTATTCAAACCACAGTTAGGTTTTCTCCTGTAAGTTTTCCCTTTTGCATAGGGTCAACACGGTCCCTGAGATTACTCATGGAGCCAGTAGCCCAGTCCTCTCCATTCACATAAAATTGTCTGGGACCACAGGAATGGAAGATGGTAAAGTGGAGGAGGATAGCATAGTCTGATGCTAAGTCTAGACTCAGAAACTAGGTATGACTGCCTTTGTAATGAGAGGTGGCAATCAGAAGCAGAAGGGGCTTTTTTTTTCCCCCCCATGAAGGTCTTTGTGAACCTTGGGGTTTAAACACCTTTGGTGCTTTGTTAGCACCCAGAAAAGCACCCTGGACAGTGGCTTGAGGGCATCAGACATCACCAAGGCATGCAGAGCAGAAGATCATGAGCCAATTTCTTTTTAAGCACACATGTATTACTTCCTGAGGACTCCTGGAAGTAATGTGAAGAGACTCTAAAGAGGGGCCTGAGGTCCTTGCCAGCACATGGGGCTAACTATCCAGCGACAGATAATTGACATCAATATGACCTCATTTGTTCCCAGAGACAGTGAGGCCTGTGACGTGTGTGATGCACACAACATGCATCATGATTTTTATTTATTCTAAGTTCCTGACAACATACAGTTGATTTTTTTCTGCAGACATGGCATGTTAAAAGCAGTCTCTTTCTAAAACAACAGTGGAAAGTATTTTTCACTGTAGATGGTGGAATTTATATAAGCCACTCTCATGTGAATACAGTAAATATATGTTTCAGTATACCCTTGAGGGGTGCTTCAATTTTGAGTTAGGCTGGCAGGTTGTTTTCGACATGTTCCACAGCCTTGTCATGTGATACCATTAGTTAGTGGTTTTCAAATGCATCCTCTGCCCTTCCCCAGTAAAATCTGACACAGCATTATATGAAGAATAGGTCAAACCAAGCAGGTATGAGAAAGGCAGGGTTGGGACCAGAGCCTTACACATGTTGACTCAGAAGTACCTCTGTCCTAAATTTGAGAGAATTTTGAGATTTCCCTCGGCATCTATTTTAGTTTTCTCTCTGTTTATATAGTTTTAAGTACTCAGATAAAATTGCACCCCCTCTTGCTATTCATCTGTTAGTCACTCTGAAATGTCAGAAATAGAGGGTTTTCCCATTCTCTGCCCACCTTGGGTACAGTAAGGATTTTCTTTCTTTATTATTTTTTTTTTAAATTTTTTTTAGTTTTATTTTTTTCTTTTTGAGACGGAGTCTCACTCTGTCGCCCAGGCTGGAGTGCAGTGGCCAGATCTCAGCTCACTGCAAGCTCCGCCTCCTGGGTTTACGCCATTCTCCTGCCTCAGCCTCCCGAGTAGCTGGGACTACAGGCACCCGCCACCTCACCCGGCTAGTTTTTTCGTACTTTTTAGTAGAGACGGGGTTTCACCGTGTTAGCCAGGATGGATTTTCTTTTTTAAAAAATTTATTTATTATACTTCAAGTTCCGGGATACATGTGCAGAACATGGTAGGTTTGTTACATAGGTATACATGTACCATGGTGGTTTGCTGCACCCATCAACCTGTCATCTAGGTTTTAAGCCCTGCATGCATTAGGTATTTGTCCTAATCCTCTCCCCCCCCTTGCCCCCGCACCCCCTAACAGGCCCTGGTGTGTGATGTTCCCTTCCCTGTGTCCATGTGTTCTCATGGTTCGACTCCCACTTATGAGTGAGAACATGCGGTGTTTGGTTTTCTGTTCCTGTGTTAGTTTGCTGAGAATGATATGATAGTTTCCAGCTTCATCCATATTCCTGCAAAGGCCATGAACTCATTCTTTTTTATGGCTGCATAGTATTCCATGGTGTATATGTGCCACCAGATTTTCAAGGCCAAGTTCTGCCTTGTGGGATGGAGACGGTAATCTGTACCTTCAGTTTCTTGTGAGACAATGACTTTAAAGTAATAAAATTTCCAGACACACAGGCAGGAGACTGAAGTAGTCTATCTACCACTATAACTCTTTGTATAGCAGTCACATCATTCCTTTGGGACTGAAATTCCTTGCGAGAAAGAACCATTTCTTACTCATCTTTGTATTCCTTGCCATTTCTTGCCTAGAGCAGGTGATCTGAAAAGTTTTGCTAAATCAAATTGGAAATAGAGAACAGAGGGCATTCTGTAATTAAATTTACTCTGACACATCTGCTTCTATGTATGTAAAAAAAATTTTAAAATATTAGGATTAAGGATTTTTTTTTTTTTTTTGCTTGGACATGCTTTCAGAATAAAATCCAAACTTTGTAATTGTTGTTTTAAGCTTGTAATTGTTCTTTTCTTTAACAAAATTATTTAAGTCTCCATCTGTGCAAGGAATTGTTCTGGGCACTTTCACATATGTTGCTATGTTTATTTAGTTACTTTCCATTCCCTTGTCAATAGTACTGGGCATTAGTTTTATTTAATTATCACTGTTTCAATATTTAATTTATTAATATGTATTAAGAGTCTAATACTTGTAACATTTGTTTCTCATACTATCTCCTTTGTTGGGTATTTTATACTCTTGATACAGAGAAGACAATGAAACTCTGACGGGGAAAGAGACTCATGCAATCCCAGGGTACATACTAGGAAGGAAGCCAGAATGTTTTATGACTCTAGGCACTATTTATGCCTTTTCTTCTGCTCTTCAGCTTCATCTTTCCCTTCAATGCTCTACTAATCTTTTCAGTTGAAGCATCTTTATCTCTTTGGCAACTAATCACTCCACTTCTTTCAATCTCAAAGGAACTGTTATGGTAGTGCTCTCTCTCTTCTCTCTGTCTCTCTCTCTCTCTCTGTTCAAAGTGAGATTTGTGGTGGGAATTCATGGATGGGTGGAGTGTTGAGACAGAAGGACTATAAAGAGTTGACAATATCTACTTATCTGCAGCTTTGAGAAATTCTGAGTTGTGAGAGAATGCTTTGTAGAGAAACTGCATTTTAGAGAGTCTGTTATTAATTGCCTTTAAGTGCTTTGTTTCTTTCCTGCCTGCCATTTTCTAAACTTGGTTTGATAAACCAACTTTACCAAGCGAGTTATTTAGAATTTGTACTTATCATCCCAGTATTCTGGATGGTGGTGTTACAAATGTCAGAGTGTTGCGCATAGAGGCTCGGGTCCAGTCCCTTTGAATTCGTAGTATTTCCTGCTTTAGTCCTTTGCTATTCAGAATGCAGTCTTTGGACCATCGGTATCACAATCCGATGGGACTTGTCAGAAATGCAGTTTACCGGTTCTCACCAGAGACCTATTGAATTAGAACCTGCATTTGATTGAATGAGATCTCTTTTGTTTCTAGTTAGTCTAGAGTAGCTTTTGCAGCAATCTCGGTCTGTTTTCTTAAAATCCTACTTTTGCTTTGCTTACAATATGCATATACACATTCGAATTTAATTTTGATTATTTTTGTGAGGTTATTCTAATGTGTGTATTATTCACTAGGCCTTTTTTGGGGCGAGGGGAGGTGCAGTTGGCCTTTGGGGATGTCATTCAATAATTTAAATCAGTTACTTTTAGTTCTGCTAAAAATCTTTTGTGCATTTCCTTGAAGACAAGAACCATATTTTATTAAACCTTTGTGCCCACACAGTCCCTTTTATGTAAACGTTCTATAAGTTGAAAGCTGAATGAATTATGAAAAATGCTTGAATGAATGAATATATGGAAGAGGATGAATCTAGATGGTAAATTCCTTGAAGACTGGGACAATGTCTTATTCATCCTTGAATTCCTAATGTTTTGCAGAAAACCTACCAATAATGCCTGTTGGTTAATTTGTAGTTGTTAGATGAGACTAGATTGTCTACTTATTCCTGGTATAAGACTCTAGAGAATAGAAACGAGAGAAAATGAAGTAAAATGGAGTGCTATGTACAGTGGTAGGCACCTTCACGATTTTTACCTCAGCTAATCACAACATCCTGCAAACTGGGTATTATTTTACAGAGGCGGAAACTGTAACACGTTCACGCAGCTCGTGTCAGAGCCTAACAATTCTTGGTTGTAATTCGCAGTATCATTGCGTGCCACAGTCCTGTTTGTGCAGAAATTGAGAGGTGGAAGAGAATGATCCTTTATATAGTAAAATGCACAATTCTCCGTGTCCCCCTTGTGCATCAGAGGCGCTGTGGCTCTGAAGGAATGAGCTTTCCTGCCTTTCAACACAGACAACATAGACGAGGCAGGAACAATGGTGTGAAAAGCGTCCTCCCCGCCCCGGTCTTTTTCCGCAGGCGGAACGCAGATGCTGGGGCCTTCAGGCGCTGAGGGGACCAGAGAGGGACGGACACACGGCTCGTCAGTTGCCTGGTAACGCCCGCTGGAGGAGTCCCAGTGTAATAAGGTCCCGGAGAAGTGTCACTGGCCCTGAGTGGGACCCGGTAGCCCGTTCGCTCCGCGCCGGCGGCCTGTCCCCGCGGCTTGGCGGGCTAGGGCAGGGGAAATGTTGCAGGAGGAGTCGGACCTCTCTCTCATTATTGCCCAGATAGTCCAAAAGCTCAAGGGCTCCAATTTGTACTCTCAGCTGGAACGGCAGGCCTGGGTAAGTGAGGCCGAGTGGGAAGGGATGGAGACGGGCGGGGCCGCAGCGATGTCTCTTCTTCACCCTCCTCACCCAAGCCAGAGCTCGCCTCTGACCTCTCCAGCTCCGCTCTGGTGCTCAAAAAACAAACAGACAAAAACACAAAAACAAAACAAAACAAACAAAAAAACCCCCACCTCCCTGTCCGGTGCAAGCTCTGCTGCCTCAGCCCCAGGCATGGTTAATAGATTTATAAAGGAGGGTGGGGCGCATCACACCTTTTTTCAGACCAGAGAAACGCTTGGTTTACCAACTCATTTATCTATTCTTGTAGTCATTTACCGGGTCTATTTTTTTAAGCTGCTGGACTCACTGAAGGTGGCTTGGACTACGCCTTCCCTCACTTTTTTCCGTCCTGTGGGGGGACTTGGGTCCCCAGGTACCTTTCTGCTTTGTGGTCAATATATCACTTTCTTGCACTTTAACCTCCCTGCAATGATTCCTCGTCTATCCGTCCACCACCTAGCATTTTTTGGATATTTTATAACATGCTAGGCACTGAGGATGCACAGATTGATCGAGATCTTTACCTTTTTTGTGACTCACATGAGTGAAATCATACAGTTTGTACATTTTGTGCCTGCTTTCTGGCATTTAACATAGTGCTTTTGAGATTCATCCATTTTGTTGGTATTTCAGTAGTTCTGTTCCTTTTTATTGCTGAGTAATATTTCAGTGAATGTACAATGGTTTGTTTATCCATTATTGTGTGAAGGGCATTTGGACTGCGTTCTGTTTTTAGAGATTATAAGTGAAGCTGATATATACATTCTAGTATACGATTTTGCTTGGATATTTGTTTCTTTTTTTCTTGGATAAATACCTAGGGTTGGAATTGCTGAGTTGTATGGTAAGTGTAATGTTTAATTCTATGAGAAACGGTCACACTTTTCCAAAGTGGCTGTATCATTTTCCATTCCCACTAGCAGTTCTGAGAGTTCCAGTTGTTTTGCGTCCTTGATAGCACTTGATGTTGCCAGTCTTTTATTTATTTTTATTAATTAATTATACTTCTCTAGTAGAAGTGTAATAGTATCTTATTGTAGCTTTTATTGCATTTCCCTAATGACTAATTATGTTAAGCATTTTCTCATGTGCTTATGTATTTTTTGGTGAGGTACTCTGTTCAAATTTTCTGCCCATTAAAAAAAAATCATATTGTTTGTCTTCTTATTGTTGGGTTGTAAGGATTCTTTCTTTATGATGTAAGTCTTTATTAGATATGCGTCTTGCAAATATTTCCTCCCAGTCTGTCGTTATTTATTTATTTTTGGAGATGGAGTCTCCCTCTGTCACCCAGGCTGGAGTGGTATTTCTTGGCTCACTGCAACCTCTGCCTCCCAGGTTCAAGTGATCCTCCCGCCTCTGCCTCCTGAATAGCTGGGGTTACAGGCATCCACCACCATGCTCAGCTAATTTTTTGTATTTTCAGTAGAGATGGGGTTTCACCATATTGGCCAGGCTGGTCTCTAACTCCTGATCTCAAGTGATCTGCCTGACTCTGGCTCCCAAAGTGCTGGGATTACAGACATGAGCCACCGCGCCCTGCCCAGTCTGTGGATTATCTTTTCATTTTCTTAACTGGGTCTTTGAAAGGGAAAAATGCTTAATTTCGGTGACATAAATTTTTATCAATTGTTTTATGATTTGTGTTTTTTGTTTCCTACCTAAGTGTTTGCCTAACTCAAGGTCTTAAAAAAGTTTCTACTATGTTTGTTTGTTCTAGAAGTTTTATAGTTTTAGCTTCTACATTTAGGTCTGTGATTCATTTTGAGTTAGTTATTGTATATGGTGCAAGGTAAGCCTTTTTTTTTTTTTTTTTTTTTTTTTTTTTTGCATATGGATATCCAGTATTTCCATTACTGATTTGTTGAAAAACCTATCCTAAGCATACACAGGTAGAAAGTGCTGGAGTCAGAATTGCACAGCGAGGAGTAGTACCTCAATCAATGAGGGCAAATCAACTGAAACAAGAGGACCAATTAATGAATCGCTTGGGAGGGAGGGATCAAGGCTATCAGGGAGATCTTTCTGGGAAGATTATTGTTTAAATCTGTGAAGGAGCAGGGCAGGAACCAGACCAGAGGTAAAGGAGAACATTGCCTACAGCCCTTGTCCTGCACCCAGAGGCTAAAGGGGTGGCGATCAATTTGGAGGGATTAGAGCAGTGCTTGTGGGGTACAGAGGAGGAATGAAGACTGAAGAGTTAAGTGGTTGTTATCCAAAAGGGGCAGGTCTGCTAATTTCCTTGGCACCTTTGTCGAAAATCAGTTACACACACACACACACACACACACACAGACACACACACAATTTCTGGCTCTCTATTTTGTTCCATTGATCTATTTGTTCATCATACAATACCACATTATCTTGCTTTTTGTAACTTTATAGTAAGCTTTGAGAGCAAAGTCCTCCAAATTTGTTCCTTTTTTCCCCAAAATTATTTTGGCTATTCTAAGTCCTTTGCTTTGCTATATAAATTTTAGAATCTGCTTACAAATTACTACAAAAATTGTTGAAAATAGGATTGGGATTACGTTGAATCTGTAGATCAGTTTGGGGAGAATCGAGATTTTAGCAATATTAAATTTCCTGGCCCATGGACATGGTTTGTCTTTTCATTTATTAATATTGTTTTTATTTTCTCCTGTCAGTGTTTTGTAGTTTCAGCACAGAAATATTGCACACTCTTTGTTAAGATTTTTCCCTTAAGTATTTCATGGTTTTTGCTGCTATTATAAATGGTGACTTAAGTTTTAATTGTTTATTATTAACATACAGAAATGCAATTGATATTGATCTATTTACCATGTATCCTGAGAACTTGCTAAACTTATGTATTGGTACCTTTTCTTAGATTACTCAAGATTTTCTGGGTACATGTATCATAATGAACTAAAGACAATTTTACTTTTTCCTTTCCAATCTGTGTGCCTTTTATTTCTTTTTCTTGATTTACTGTACTGGATAATGCCTCCAGTGCAATGTTTTGCAGATGCTTTTTTTTTTTTCAGGTTGAGGAAGCTCTATTCTATCCCTAGTTTTCTGAGAGTTTTATCATGAATGGATGTTGAACTTTGTTAAATACTTTTTTTATATCTGTCGATATGTTCATATTATTTTTCCTGCTCATGTTGATAGGATGAGTAATACTGATTGGCTTTGAATGTTGCACCAATTTTGTATTCCTGAGATAAATTCCACTTGGTTATGATGCATTATCCTTTTTATATATTTCTTGACTCAATTTGCTAACATTTTGCTGAAGATTTTCTAACTGTATTTATGAATGATACTGGTTTGTGGCTGGGCACGGTGGCTCATGCCTGTAATCCCAGCACTTTGGGAGGCCAAGGTGGGCAGATGCTTGAGCTCAGGAGTTTGAGACCAGCCTGGGCAACATGGCAAAACCCTATCTCTAAAAAAAAATACAAAAATTAGCCAGTGTGGCAATGCACACCTGTAGTCCCAGCTACTTGAGAGGTTGAGTTGGGAGGATGGCCTGAACCTGGGTGGCAGAGGTTGCAGTGAGCAGATTGCACCACTGCACTGCAGCCTGGGTGATAGAGCCAGACCTTGTCTCAAAAAAAAAAAAAAAAAAAAATATTTTTTTTTGTATTTTTTTTTTTTTTTTTTGTAACACTTTGTCTGCTTGTCTGCTTTCAATACCAGGTAATGATGATCTTATAAAATGAGTTGGGAAGTGTTCCTTATTTTCTGGAAGAATTTATGTAGAATTAATATTATTTTCTCCTTAAATATGTGGTAGAGTTCCCAGCAAAGTCACTGGTGCCTAGAGTTTTCTTTATGGACACATTTTTAATTAAAAAAATTCAATTAAAAATATATGCAGGCCATTCAGGTTATCTATTTCTTCTTCTGTAAGCTTTTGTAGTTTTTATGTTTCAAGAAGTTGCTGCACTTAATCTATTTTAACAAATTTACTGGTATAAAATGTCTATGTGATCCCCTTATAGTCCTTTTAGTGTCTGTAGGATTTGTAGTGATAACCCCTCTTTCATTCCTTATATTGTAATGTGTGTCCTTTTTTTTTTTTTTGAGATGGAATCTCGCTCTGTTACCCAGGGTGGAGTGCAGTGGTGTGAGACTGGCTCACTGCAAGCTCCACCTCCTGGGTTCACACCATTCTCCTGCCTGAGCCTCCTGAGTAGGTGGGACTACAGGCACCTGCCACCATGCCCAGCTAATTTTTTGTATTTTTAGTAGAGACGGGGTTTCACCGTGTTAGCCAGGATGGTCTCGATCTCCTGACCTCCTTGATCTGCCCGCCTCGGCCTCCTAAAGTGCTGGGATTACAGGTGTGAGCCACGGGATGCCTGGCCATGTGTTCTTTTTTCCCTAATTAATCTGGCTAGAGATTTATCAATTATATTAATACTTTCAAAGAAGAAGCTCTTGGTTTGTTTTTCTGTTTTCAGTTGCTCTGATTTGTTTCCTTTATTATTTTTGTCTGCTTGCTTTCGATTTAATTTGCATGTTTTAAGTTATTTAGATGAAATTTAGATTTTTGATTTGAGATCTTTATTCTCTTCTAATTAATGCTGTAAATTTCTTTCTGTGTACTGGTTTATCTGTGTCTATAAATTAGGATATAGTCTATTGCCATTTTCACCCAATTAAACATTTTAAAAAATTCTCTTGTGATTTTATGGGTTCTAATAACCCATGGGTTTTTTATAAATGCGTTGTTTACCAGTATCTTTCTTTGATTGATTTCTAGTTTAATTCTCTTATGGTCAAGAATAAAGTATGTATGATTTTAGCTCTTTTAAACTTACTTACTTTTATGATCCAGAATATGTTTTATCTTATTTGTTTCGTATGTACTTGAAAAGCATGCTTATTCTGCTGTTTCTGTTCCGTATTTTTCAATTAGGTCTAGTAGACAATTTGGTTTCAGTATTCTATATCCTTACTGAGTGTAGGGGCTTCAGTCA